TACTGGCTTGGACCTTAGGGTACAATGCCCGGGAAACTTTACTTGTGAGGTGAGACCGGAGTAACCCGAAAAAAAAAAACACTTTCACAGGGTAGACGCTGAATAATGTATCTGTACTGTGGATAAAAAAACAACACGGTTTGATATTTGAAACTCAACAGTTGTGGGTGTTTGGTTGCTCTGTGTTCTTTTGTTTACAATACAGATTGTGTGAAGATGTGTGTTTGAGGGGACCGCTTGCAATTGTATGTAGTGTAGCTGTAAGTTTGTTTATTTTCCTGCTTTATTGTAGTTTTTGTAAGCTTAGAAAGTCTATTACTTAAAGTAGGGAGGTTGCTAATTTTATCGAGTAGTGAGATTTGACCGTCACTCTTATAACGCACCAACGGCCCGAAAACGAAGAATGAAAAGCACAATAAGTGAAAGACAACACCTTTATAGCATAGAGCCATATATTTATATGGAATATTTATTCTTACCAAGAAGAGATATTTAGAAAAAGAATAGTTCAAGTTCTCTAAAAATTATCAGAACGTCACTAACGGACTATTATTTGAAAGAATTACCGAATAATTTTATTGATTTTGGAATTTTTTTATTTTATAGATGGCGTATCCTATCTAAGGACATTTGTTAGGGTTTTTTTTTGTTGTGAGTTTGTCTAGCCCAAGTCTGTTTAGCCAAGGAAAATAATGGGATTTCTCGTTGTTTAAGTGCAAAGCTACACAATAGGCTATCTGTTCTGTGCCCACCTCGGGTATCGAAATCCGGTTTTTAGCGTTATAAGTCTATTAAGATTTAAGTGAACGCTCAAGAGGAAATCCTCAATAGCCGCAGCTGTAATTAGATCTCCAATCATTCAAGAAATGGAGTTAAAACTTGAAAAAAAAAAAACAACACAAGGGCCACTCTATGAGCCGCTAAGAATATTTTATTCTACAAGAAAAGTAATTTTATTATTTCAAACAGATTTCTAATAAAATAAAACATTTGCATCGGCCGGGAATCGAACCCGGGCCACCCGCGTGGCAGGCGAGTATTCTACCACTGAACCACCGATGCTACATTATTTTGTATACGCCCTCTCGTGTATATTTCAAGAAGTTTCTCTTTATTCGTTCTTGGGTCGTTAACCTTGTCTGTTGGACCGTGAATATTCGCTAACTAGTTTGCTGTCTTGCTGACCACCAAACCACGTTAATTAGTTGTTGGATAGACCTGAATATTCTATATTCGAGTGGTTTCACCTGCGTTAACTCTTAATGTTTTATACTAAAACTTACATATTTTCAGTTTTTTTAAAAGAACGTGATAGTCAACTAACTTTTCATGTACCACAAGCTTGTTTTTTTTCTCCCTATTTTCCGGTTTGCTACACTTAAGCCCTCTTCATTAGCCATTCTTGATTTTGAAGTGATAGACTAGAGGAAGAGGAAAGTATTCAACAACACACACCGCCAACTCTTGGGATATCTTATATATTTACGATTTAATTTCGTGCGAAAGTTAATTTCATCAAATCGAATCATCTGACAGGCTTACAGAGATCTCTGATTGTTATTTTGGTCAAGTGACCTTAGACCTCTCTCCCCCCTCCTTGACTGTTGGTTTAATTCTTCAATGTGTTATAGGACCCCCCTTTTTTAATTCTTCAATGTGTTATAGGACCCCCCCTTGGTTTAATTCTTCAATGTGTTATAGGACCCCCCCCCTTGGTTTAATTCTTCAATGTGTTATAGGACCCCCCTTGTTTAATTCTTCAATGTGTTATAGGA